TGAAAGACATGGAACTATATATTTCAGAATAAGATCTTCATTTGAGTATATGCCACTATGCACATATAAAGCTTTGCTTCACATCTATTAAACATTCTTCTGGTGTGTTCAGGTCACAGCTTTACAAAGCTGGAGTTTGGGTTTTGTGCATCTAAATACTGTGTCTTGTACACACAGGTAATATTCTATCATGTACAAAACCTAATACTAAAAAATGTGCGTACCGATGTCCTGGGAGCACAGTGGGGTAGGTTGGATACTCTTTAAAAGAATTGGGCTACTTTACACAGCTGAGTACAGATACCAACAACTTGCTTTTTTATAATCTTATTACATTAACAGGTCACATGGAGCAATCAAAGATGGCAAGTTTCTATGGAGCAAAAACAGTTCTAGGGCCTCCACATTTCACCTGTACTTAGGGAGGGATCCTTTGCCCCAGCGTGATGCTGCACCTAATTGGGCAGATAATAGGCTGTTAAGAATTGCCTCAGGTCTGGATACCGCATCTGAGTACTGTAACAGCTTCTGGTAGGATCCCTCAAATGCCACAAGGAACATGTTGGAGGCAAGGCCTTGGGCTAGGAAGGATGTATAGGAGGCAAGAAGGAGCAGAGTTGTAGCTTCTAGTGCTGTGTGGTTTCTGGGAGGTGCTGTGGTCTAGCTGCTCTAAGGTAGGCAGCCCCTCAGGGCTATACAAAATGTGCCAGAGATCACAACAGTGCTGGAAACAGTTTCAGAAAGATGCAGCATGGTTTCAACCTACATAACCTCTTTCCTCTGCAATGAAATTTATTGTTTTGCATATTGTCCCACTGATATCAGACATGGAGAAAAAGGACAGTCTTATTTATTATACAAACAAAAAGCTTAACGAAGTGCACGTCAAACAAAACAGCACGCAGCAACAGGAGATAAACACAATATGGAATAATTGCAGCTCCTAGCAACAGTGCATAACACATATACATAGCCATATACAACACTGCTCCCCCAATAATGGAGTCCTTTAAGTATTTGGGCTGGACAGTGACTCACCTCATGCAACCCAATTCAGGGGTTGGAGGCATTTCAGGGCAAATGGCAGTGAGCTGTTTCAAGCTCTCCTCGAGTCACTTTGGCAACTGAAGGATTTGACAGGTCTAGAACAGCTGATGGACTCATAAGAACTGGCCCCGCTGGCAAAAAGATGTCTTTTAAATTTGTAGATGACATATCACTGGGAACTTGACCTTGCATTTGGTAATTGCTGTGAAGTGTCTTGTCATCTGGAGTCTTGGCCATGTATGACGCTGACCTGGCAGCTTCAAGGACACCTTATTTTACAAGATGATTGCTCTCTGCATCAGTTTTTGGATAGAGAGCAAATACAACAAAAACAGGCTTCATTCAAATTGATGCCAGAGATGGGTCCAAATGAAATGGGTGGGCCCTTGTACACACCAAGCCCTTCTCCAAAAACTTTGTTAAATTCCTTTAAGACATCATGTCTATTGAAGTGTCTGTTGCAATACTGTGCATTCCAGTTAACTTGATGCCTGGTGCCTCAAACCATTTTCCACCTAGCAAGCTTGTTCACTGTCTTTTTGCAATTACGAGGCAAAGAAACCCTGGATACTTTTCAAAATGGATGTTGATGTAACATTCTCCTTTTGAGCCAACTATTTGTTTATTGTAGTCAGGCAAGTCTTGCTTTGCTTGGACCAACAGGAGGAGGATTTTGAGGCCAGAGCAATTCACATGTTGCTTCTGAAACTAAGACAAGCTTTAATCCTGAGCCTACTTTCTTCTGTAGGGCGGGGGGTGTCTCCACTGTTGGCAAATGTGGTAGCGTAGACATAAGCGAGTGGTTTATAGGCGTAAGTTCTATTCAGACCAGCCACAGTATTTGTAACACATGGGAGTGAACCCTCCTGCTGGTACTTCTTTTCAGATGGCTTACATTTCTCATGATGTGTACAATTAATGTTACCCTTATGATTGCAGGGATAGCACTTGGCTTTATGGAATTAGCATGTGTCACATCTGTGGCTTCCACTGCAGCTATAGCAGTTTCCCAGGGATGAACAATTTATTTTCCTGTGAGCTGGTGGATAATTTTTTGGAGAAGTCCTTTGAGATTGTACTTGGTAAGTCTCAGTCTCATTTTCACAGATGACACTTGACTCCCAGTAAGCGGAGGAGCATGGTGAGCAAGTGCTTCTTCTTGAACAATGACAAATGTCAAGTTTTGCTATATGAGGAATCTGCCTTATACAGTGCCATCTTGAGCCTCACACAAGAGTTAATCACTAAACAGAGAGTGAAGACTGGTAACCAAAAGTAGAGTTCTCAGTCAAGCAACTCAAGTCAGCTATGTATGCTGTGACCTGTTCCTTTGGTAGGTGAACTAGCTTTGGTTGAAATGGGACCAACGTTTCAGATTGAATCAGTGCAAAGTGATTTTTCAGTAGTGTGAGCATTTTATCATAGGACTTGCCACAGGGTTTGGCCAGAGATATGAGTGAAGAAACCATGTCACAAACCTGTGAGCTGATGACAGCTGATGACACGACACATTTTTGATTAGCCTCAATAATCTCACCATTTTCCAGAAGGATGAACTGGTCGTTGTAGGAGTCCCAGGATGATGGTTTGGCCACATCAAACTCTTCAATACAGACCACAGTAACCGTGTTACCACCCCATGGGAAGGAAAACCCTGGTCTGGGCTTCCTGGGTGGTACAGGCACCTTCTCCTTTGCAGCACTCAGCATTTGCCATTCAGGATGAAGCACTGGAAGCATTTCCTGCTCACTGAGATCTTGTCCTTGTTGCTTAACTGAATGTCTCACAAGCAAAGCAGCAGGCAGCAACAGGAGATAAACCCTGTATGGAATAGCACCACTTCATGGCAGAAGTGCATAACACGTATGCATTTCTGTACATTAAATACATAATATTCTATAAGATAGGTAGGACTCCAATGTCATGCATCTACAACAGTGATTTTCAGCCAGGGTGTGGCTGGAACCTGGGTGCTATGGGATGCCACTCAGTATTGGCACTGTTAGGTATACAAACACCTACGCATGATTCACAAAATAAATCCAGAGATTTCAAATAAGAATCTACCCAAGACAACTACATATTGCAGCCTTCTGCAAAGGTAAAGATGTTATAAACAGGAACACACAAACCCTAGTACGCAAGAAACTGGGTGATTTACATGTCTTTTAGTCTTTTCTTCTGCCCCTGTGGCTGCTAGGTACCACTCAAACCTTTGCCTGAATGCCCTCCAGCTCTCTGCTATATTGCCTGGCAGTAGAAGGCAGGTAGAGTTTGCAACACTTCCATAACCAACTATCCTTAGACTATAACTGGAGGAAGATCACTTACAGTAGCCCTTGTCCTTCTCCATGGTTGAATTGCCCCACTTGTTCTTAGGTTCCAACTTCTTCAGTTTGGATATTAAATTCTTTCAAGTTCCTTCTTGTTTCACACCCCCAACACCATGTAGTGATCACCAGGTTCAATAAGCATAGACGTATGTGAATGAGATGAACTAAAACAGTGGTGCTCAATCTTTCAGCACCATGAACAAGGTGAGTGGCTGGTCCATAGGCTCAATCCTGCATGGAGTTGGGCTCCATGCACCTGGATTCCTCCTTGTGCCACCTAACTTGTATCCCATGCAACTGGATCCTGCCTTATGCTGCCTGGATAGGGGCCCCATGCACCCAGATCCTGCTCTGCACCACCCAGAGAAGGCCCTACACACCTGATCTAGTGGCCAGGGCTACGATATCTGCCCATGGGTCTCGAAATTTGGCAGCTGGGGAACAGCAATTAATGCTGCTATAGCTCCCCTGCCACCAAATTTTCGGGCCATGGAGAGACCTATGGACTGAATGATATGGCTCTGTGGGCCAGATTTAGCCCACAGGCTAGGGGGTCAGCACCCCCAAACTAAACAATGAACTTTACTGTGGAACTGTAGGCAACCTCTTCAGAAGCTTGGTCTCCTACCTAACAGCTACTATCTAGTAGTAGTAGTGACCATCTCCCAATTCCCAAGTCTTCTAAATTAGAAAGTGTCTCTAAATTATAACTTGTATCACTACACCCAGGGCTCCTCCATCCTGTTCAGGCCTGCTTCTGAGCTGTCTATACTTCCTTGTTTGCAGACTCAGTGTGGAGCAGAATTATTTCTCAGCAGTGCTCTGAGGCTCACTTTATAAACTGGATAAATGTACCCCAAGACATTTGCTCCTTAGTCAATTCCTGACATGCATTTTAGCCTAATTCATAGGAGGAGGAAATGTGGGGTCTCGCTGTGCATAGAAGTGATTGAGAACTCTTATTCTGAGTTTCATGCCTGAGTGTTTGCCTCACACTTTTTAGCCAGCTTTTTTGTTTTGATACCGGAGACAGAAAGAATGTCCAGGAAAAAAATGTTTAAAAGGATGGGCCTATTGCACATAAATAACATTTCCATCACTTCTGCATTCATTTATCATTCACTGGGTAGCCTTTAGAATTCATCTTCATCTGGCAGAAGTAATGTCATAAAACACCATTTTTAGGCAAGTACAGTGATACCAGCTCTTCAGTCCTTAGCTTGCTAGACTTATAAAACCTGAATCTTGTTATTTGTATAATACATAAGAGGGAAAAAGAATCAGTCTATTGAGATGTTCAGGACACACAGAGTCACTAAGGAAATGAATTTGTTGTGGAGGATTTTACATCTTGCAGTTCATGTTGACCAACCTGGGCATGAAAGAAAGCAAACCTCTTGGAGATCACTCGGATGATTAGGTTAGACTTCAGTTACTGCTCTTCTTTTCATTCCTCCTCTTTATGAAATCCCTCCACCCACAGCTATTGTCCTGGTCTGAATACTCTGACATTCTTATTCCACATGCACTATACCAGACCAGAGTCTCTGGATTACTGCAGATGCCTAATAGGAAATTCTGGGGATGTTTCTCAACACAAAAAAAATAATACACACAACCTATTCTTTTACATCTTTATTTGTTATTGATTGTTTTGCAAGTACATAGAAAGCACTTTGACACAGTTTACAGTACAATAGCCATTTATATTACCTTTTCTCTTTCTACTTTTTCAGGGACACTTGATCATGTTTGGCATCAAACAAAATAAAGAGAAATAAGTTAAGAAGGGAAAACAGCAGAAATGGTACCTTCTTCAATTCAAGGGCATAAGTTCTGTCTTGTGAAGTGAGGCCAGGCAGATAATGATCTCACTGATATACCATTAGACCTTACTTGCATTTTCAGACCTTATTGCCAGGGAGGAGAGAAAGGGGAGCCAGTTTCTCGTCCCTGTGAAAGCTTTGATCACAGCTACCACCTCATTTGCCAGAGGCACATCGAATACGAATGGCTTTGCTTGCTAGTAAAATCCAGTTCATAAGTTTGTATTCATCATGATAATACAAGTCTTGCCAAAAAAAACATTAATACAGTTAGCTCCCTGGGTCACTTGATATTTTGCTAAGAATATCAATACTGTACTGTGATATGATGTTACCAAGACAAATTGATAGTAAAGCAGCCAGATATCTGTACCACACTGAGAAACCTGGTTCCACTCTCCTCCCCATTCACCAATGCAACTCCATTGGCTTCAACACTCTTGAATGACAATGATAAAAACATAAGGAGACTCAGGGCCATTGTGTTCAGCATGGGCACTCCAGTGCTAAAGACCCTTTCATAGTCTTGAGCAAGTGCAGATGCGTCCCAAATGCAATTTGCTGTACACAGTACAAGTGAAATATCTCCTTCCACAGTTAGGAAAACTGAGGCAGAGAGTGCCTTGTCCCAAGGCTACAAGTAGAGAACTGGGAAAACTAAGATTAGAATTCAAGAGTGACTGGTTCCCTCCAAGTCCTTTGCTTAGGAATTTGATATACTGAACTCCAAGTTTCTGTTATATAGTTCCTCTCTTTATAACATCATTTTTAATGATAATTAAATTAATTATGGCCTGGGATCATCTCTCAAGGAGACATAATTCTAGTCAGGAGTTTAGGGAGTGAAATAATATGCACTTGCTACTGCTCTCTGGCACTTATTGTGGCAAGCCATACGGTGGTGTTTATATGCAACATTTTAGGCACCCTGCACCAAACTGACTGGCACTGACCTTACTGTAATGTGGTAAATTACAATAGCCCAGCATTTAATTTTCTAGATTTTCTTCAAGATTCTCTTCATTATTTAAATACTTTTCTTCCTAAACAATTTAGGTACAAAGTCCCCCCCCCAACCCCCACCCCTTGCATAACATTTTATATATTCCCCCTTGAAAAATAGCATCTGCTATGACAGTCCTCTAGTAAATATGTGAATAACGACTAGTGGGAACCCACTTATGACCCCGTCCATTCCTGAGAAGTCTCTCTTAACCAATCAACCCACCAATCTTCTGCTATGGAGATAATGATAGCCACCCTTTTTACTTCACTGAGTCTAGTGAAGGGTCTTTGCGGGTTAAATCTGTCTTAAAATCTTAGCTCAGAACTGTTTTATGCCAACCTACTGCACGTAAGTCTCTGCTATAACAGACCCCATGCTGAACAATCCCACAGAATTCTAGCTGGGAGTAACACTGTCAGTCCAATTCTTAGTTTTTCCTCACATCAGTATTAAATGGTCACGCTATTAATCAAAACCTTGTTTGAGAGCTGTTAACACAGAGGACCTACCCAAACTTAGAAGCCAGATGAAAACTAGAGCTGTTTGGAAAACACAAAGCAGGATTCTTACTTGTAGTTATCCTGAAGTGCTCTGTCCAGTGCCTCACAAACAAAATTAAATACCAGACAAAATTAGTTTTGTATTTACCTTGACATACCAGTTGCAGAGTATTTTTCTTCCTCAAATGTCAACCTTTAGGACTTCTTGATACATGAAAGCTGTATACTAGTATAGGTAACATGGGGCAACTCCTTTAGCATAGGTGTAGTTATACCTGGATAATGGTGCTTATATTCCTTTATGGGAAGAAGAATAAGCTATTCTCTTAGATAGCACCTTTATACTGGGAAAACTGACCAGAGATTGTACCATTATTTCAATTAAAAAAAAAAAATCACAGCTCTAATCAAAATAGTTATACAGGGACCCAAACTATATAGATCAAGCCTAATTTTGCAAAAACACTGGGAAAGAAGGTCCTTTCTTATTTTAAAATCAGAGAAATGAGAGAAAGAAGATAAGTATTTGCCCAGGGCCACAGAAGAACTAGAAGACAAGAAGTTGCATTTATGGCTCTGTATTCTCAACATACCATGGTCCTCCCACAGTATGAATATGAACAGTTTTTTAAGTGAGAGACTCCTCATCAATGTAGAGTCAAAATGTTTCTCTGCTCTGGAGTTGTGTAAGTATTTTCTTAGCATTGTTTCTTTTCATGCAATTTCCTCTTAATGCTGATCTCAAACACATGATAGGATCCAACTATGACTGGATCCACATGACTGGATCCAACTATGCTTTGGTTAATGTGAATTTTCAGTTAATTGGGGGCTTATTTAATGACTCTAATAACTTGTAAATCACATCCCATGCTATCATAGTTATACTGCTTAGTAACAAAATAGCAGTTCTCTGTAAATTTAATGGAAAAAGAAGAGCCCTGTCAAACAGGAAGGTGCAAGGTTATTTAATTTTGATTGTCCTGTAGCTGTTGCATGTTCATTTTAGTTATTAGGAGTTTGGGTCCCAAATACTTTTCTGCTCCCTGAATCAGCAAGAGCCAAGAACTTATTGTTTTAACTCTTTCCTTACAGGAAACTTGAACAGTTTAGGGAAAGGACTCATATCCCTGACTCTTCCCTAAACGCTTCATGTGAAAACTTGGCTTTTGCCCTTCCTCCCCACCCACCCTTCTTTCTGTGACCTCATAGGCATAAGCCTATGTCCTACTGCAGCATCATTCAGCTCCTTTCTAATGATGGCTTGGATGAGAAGGGTTATTGGGAAAGACTGAGTGTTTTCTATAAGGAAACTGTAGGGTTATCACTTGTCTAAAGAAGGAGACTTATTTTCCATGCAAATTAGACTCTTTCTGGACTGTACATTTATGAGTTTCACCAACTGCATACACCAGGGTCATACTCTGGAAGGTGTACCCTAGCCTTGTTAGTAATGGTACATAAACACCACAGGACCTGTAGATACATTCAGAAGTGAAGGCCCAGGGTTGCTCCCACTATTCTTAGTGGGAGTTTGCCACTGACTTATTTTTAAAAGGTCCCAAGTTTTCCACAAATGGAAATAGAAGTCCCTATGCCAGACGTACCTTTGCAGTTCACTATAAACACAACAATCATTCCCCAATGAAAGCCAACAAATCCCTCACCATGAGTCAGAATCACCATGATAATTGCAATATTTCCACTCCAGATGATTGATTTGCTTATGTGACTTTAGCACAGGCAGTTACAAGTTTGCATGGTCATCTGTGCACACAGGTAGTGCCATGCTTGTTTTACATTGCAACCTCTGGCAGTATGATCACTTCTACAAGGCATTTTTGAGCCAATGCTTATTAACAATCAAATTGTACAATGTTGTTATTAAATATTTAGGCATTCAATTCACCCTTTTTAACAAAACTGGTAATGTTATGTGCGTAAAAATGCCATTTACACAGTTATTCATGGCTGGAGTGTGACTACATAGAAACTACTTACAAAGCCCTTTTAAAAAAAACTATAATTGCAAAACAGACGTTGATTTCCTTTCATCAAACTCCCATTTGGAAACAGGGTCTCTGGCAAGTCAAGCCCAGGCTATGATTCAGTTGAAATCTGTTTCATTGGTATGAGATTTGATGAAACCTAGTTAAAAGGAGAGAGGGGGAAAATTAAAAAAAAAGGCTACATACAGTAGTACAAATGGGCTACCCCTCCCCCTAGCCCCGATTGCAGCAATATCTAGTGTAGCACACAATACTGCAGTCTCAGGTACCCCATCACTGAGTTGTTCTTAATACATGAACAAAGCTGGGTGGGGGAAAAGGCAAAGCAATTTACAGAATACCCAAAGGCTAACAGGATGCAATGGTCATGGAGCTAGCAGGACAGCAGATAGATAGCTGTACATTCCCACCCTGTACAGTGAGTGTCACCGAACACTCAGCACCTGATTTATACCTTGCACACACTTGGTTCACACATGCAATTACTCTGATGCAGGCTAAGAAGAGGGACATGGGGGAAATCATAAACATTTTTGATCTATTCATGTCCAAGAGAGACAATATTTGACTCAAAGAACTTCTGGTTGTGGCTAGTGATGTGGCTTCCAGCGTGAACACAAGACTACAAAGGAATTCTTAGTATAATTAACCACCATTACTCTACAAGAGCCCAGCTCCTCCACCTGCTCCTTTTCAAACACTTGACAAAGAGTAGGTCTCCTGTCACAATGGGCCCAGACAGAAGGATTCCAAAGCTGGGTTGAAGAAAATCAATGCTTGGGATCTCCACAGCAGGGCCTATAAGTCAAGACCACTCCTGCTGCCAGCCTGATAACAGGCAGAAGCCTAGCACAAAGAGCAAGGACGATCTAGATGTAGTTAACTGCTCATCTGGTTTAAGAGGCAAATCTTTGAGTATTTTGGGCGTAGATGATTAACATATTTCAGTGCAACCTCACAAACTGCATTTTTCTGCTTCTTCTTCCTACCTTTTTTATGTTACTGTATGGAACCTGCTAACACAATTATAAAATTATAGCTATAAAGGGTCTGCAATCATTAACAACCTGTTGCCTGCAGAGCTGTACTTCACACTGCTGGATTTCTTGAACTATTTTTCCTCAAACTACAATAAATCATCATTTACATCCAGTTCTATGTGGGAGCTACTGCTAAGTAAAGCTGGGTCCACAGAATGTATAGTTGTGCAGAATGTTAGGGAAAAGTCTTGGTGGAAAGAAAGAGGCACTGTATCTTGATTTTTCAGAGCTCTGTGCACAGCAGGATAATAAACTGCTGTCACATATACAATGTGTGTGTGGGGGAGAGGGGTGCATGTTTGTGCACACACGCACGTGTGTGTGTACGTGTGTGTATGCGCACGTGCACACATGTGGAACCACAGAAAAAACACTTTCAATGCACAGAGCCACACAGATGGGTTTCAGAACAGCTTCAAAAAGCAGATAAGCATTATAAAATGTAGGTCCAATTCTGCTAACCTTGAGAAGCATATTATGCATGCACGGCTCTACTACAATCAACAAAAATAGTGGAAGAGGAAGAAACTCTGCTAAGGATAAAGCAGCATGTAGACCTGCACTTCTGACAACAATGGCAAAATTCATTTCCTGTGGAGTGGAGGTTGTGCAACTGCTATCGTGGTTTTCAATATCATCCCAGTTTTGCATTTTCCATTTGAATGAGCGTACTCCATAAAAATTAACATGGGAACATCTGAAATTACATCTATCACCTGTGTCCACCACCATTCATTCCCATGAAGGGGCTAATTTCCAGGAGGTGTTGAAGCCCTGTGGCTCCTACTGAGGACAGTGAGGACTGCAGGTTCTCCATACCACATTTAATGAGGCCTATATTTAACTGCTTGCTATGAATGAATAAAACTGAAAGGTGATTAAAGCAGCTGGCGAGGATGACTTGTGGCTGGAAATCAGGGAGTAATCAAGTTTGAAATGCAGGGAGTTTCTGGGATCACTGGCTTAAATCCCAGTGGTTTCAGTCACATAAATACATAAGTATGTGAGTGAGAGTGAGTTCTTGATCTGTCCTTCAGATGTCTGCCCTACATGCACATCAAAAACCACAGAGCATTTGGTTAAGATCCCTATATCTTTAGTCAAAAACTGTCCTTCCTACTTCCAAGGTTGTAACAGGATTTGATTACCTACAATTCCTCAGTGCAGAAGAAATGGTACTGCAGGACCTCAAGGCACAGTCAATATAGCATTTTTGTAGCCTCGGGTCTTAAGGGCCCTTCATAGATTGATAAAATAATGTTAAAAATGGTGCTGCTTGGAACATGCTGCAGGAAAGCACTAACTGGACAGTGACATTTTCTCCTATATGAAAAACATCCCAGGTAAGCAGCTGTATTAAAAAAAAATCACCTCTGCATGAGAATGAACTCTATTTCTTACAGCTGCATTAGTAAAATATTAACATAAACATTGTGTTAAGGAATCATTTGAAATTAAATACCGCCCTCTATTCGTACTCCCTCTACCCTGTACAGCATTTCTGTTTCTGAACATGACAAATTTTGAAAACCCAGTTGTAAAGCTAGTAAGTGCTGATGTAAACCCCCATTAGCCCTACCAACAAAGAGGTAGGTAGCTACAGCTAATCTCTTTCCACTATTTAGACTGCCGTTTTGATGAGGGAGAAAAAGACTGCATATACTCTAGAAGTATGCTGAATTACTTTTTTAAAGATAAAATAAAAATTAAAATGTTAAGTAATCATATTAAATAAAGTATAATTTTATAAAATATTAAACAATAAAAATATAATATAAAATAAAATGTTAAACTAACAAAAAGGATAAGAAAACACCAGCCAACTCCCTCAAAATTACCTCTGCATGGTTGGGTGCCCATTCATTACATGAATGAAAGGTTGCTCTACCTTGCTACCTGGAAACTATTTTTACTTTCAGATAAAGGCCATTACTAAAGACCATTTTTAGCCTCAGTCTTTGTACAAAACTGCCTTTAGCAAAGTCAGTTTCACAGCTGGAAGCAGGTGACAAGGACAAAACACAGACTTCACATTTAAAATAGATTCTATCATTTTTTAAATTTAGGTAACATTTCTTTGAATCAAAACCTTGTAGAATTTGATGACGGCATCCAAACTTTTTTTTTTTTTTTTTTTTTTTTTTTTTACTTGGTGGCTTGAACTTGGGCAGTTCAATTTTTTTTTTTTTTAACTGGAAAGCCGAGCGATTGATATTCAACCAAAAATATTAAGTTCATTTTTAACTGCGCTATTTTTTAGCTTGATACTAACTTTTGTTGTCTCTTTGTATCTCTACTATTGAATTTAACTTTCATAGGAGAAGAGGGAAGCTGAAACTTATGCAGATAGACTTGCCATGTCTATTTTATAATGAGATACATCTACAAAAATATGATTTTTTATTCTTTTCTCTCTCAGTCTCATCAAAGCTATAAACCAGTATAAGCCAAAACAGATTACCCTGCCAAGGTGATCTATAAGCTAGGTGGGAGCAGATCTGATTTAAGTATTCAAGATAAGCCAATACTTTGTCTTCACAGCCTAGAGAAATCCAGGGTGAATTATTTTTTATATAATGACAGTCCATAATAAAGATTGGCGACTCTAAATCACTTTTCACTTGGCATGTGGCTGCAGTGAACGTCCTCTAGGAAAGATTTTTTCAAGCAAGTAAACAGGCTGTGAAAATAAGAACGCACAATCAAACCTCTCTGAAAGAAATCACAGTGTCATTAAAACCTTGTCTCTCTCTCCCTCTCTATGTGCATACGCACACTTATTTATAAAGATATACAAATAAAAATAGAAACACAAACATACATATATACATATATATGCATATACACACACACTTTATAATTATGATATAATGTTTATATGTTTATGTTACACACACACACATATATATTAGACAGCTTTTTAATGAGACAGCGATTTCTTTGAGAGAGGTAGAGGCAGCACCCAGCTTTCATCAGGATAAAATTAAGTGCAAATGTACAGTCACCCCTTAAAGTCTCAGTTTAAACAGATAAATGGAACATACGAGTTATTTTAGCTAAATGCTTTCTGTGGCCATTGCAAGAAACAGCCATCCCCAGATATGTTCCGCTCCATAATCTTATTTTCCTTTAGTTCTGGTGAAAACTGTACTCCTTCCCTGGCCCAATAAACCACGAGAGAAGTCTGCTTTCCTTATACCAGGGTAATATAATTAAAGTCACTACCAACACAGTGATATTTCTTTTGTGCACAGCATTACTGAAAGTGGAGAACTGTTTCATAGGAAATTTTAAAAAGTAAGGTTCAAAGGTAGTTTCAATGATGTGCTTTGTGAACAACAAATTATGCAGCAAAGTGGTTTTTATAGCACCTTCTTACACTCTGCCCACTGCAGGTCAATCAACATCAACAAAAAATCCTCCTATTTAACTGACTCTGTTTGCAGAAATGACCTGCTTTTCATTTTTTTAAAAAAACATCCATAATAGCAAAACACAATATTGGCTCTGGTTAGCAGAAATGCAATTTTACAGATGCAGCTCTTGAAATTCCCTGGACTTGCAAGGCTATTAATTAGCGTTAATAATTCACTGAGAGCCAACAGTGTGCATGAAACCTTATAACAAAAATAATATATACCGGCTCTGAAGTCTTACATTTATCAGCCCCACCCCTTCGGGGATACTCCCTAAGGGGAAGGAGCCCAGAATAGCACATTCTAGTGTAGCACTGGGACCAGTACAATTATTCTGTATTCTCACACCACAGCACAGTAAATGCTCTAAGTAGCTTCATCACTTGGGGGAGTGAAGTCTTTAAATATATGAGGACAAACAGCATCTTAGGGGTATGAGAGAAGAATACAATCATGTAATGCTCATTTGCTATGTGCATCATGTAAAGGACCTGCCTTGCTAAATAAATATACTATATATATCATCTTTCCATTGTTACTGGGTCAGCTTCATGAACCTATTACTGAAGGAGCAAGACTGTTGAGAGGGAACCGAAACAGGGGAGGGTACTGGCTTTCTGGATTAGTGCTGAGTCAAAGTTTCCCCTACATGGTGCAGCATAAAAGACAAACCAAAGATATCACTGGGAAAAGGTGACAAATGGGCCAGTTTCTAACCCAAGTGAGTGAAAGTGCAACACCTTAAATGCTGGATAAAGTAGGGTTACAGCTAGAGCAGTTTTGCTACAGTCGTATTCACTATACCCTTATGCATAGCTGATGCACAGCTCCCAAGCAGTAGCTCTCCTCCGGCTTTGAAGCCATTACAAATGTGCATTTACCCCTACCCAAACAGGCTCAACTATTCATCCACATCCCTAAGCAAACCATGATGCAACAGAGATGTTTTATTCCCTGAACTATCCTTCCCTAATGCTCTATGATTTCATTTCAACCCCCTCCCATTTCCTCAGTTGTTTCCAGCCATTTCCTAGCCCCATGGCTAACACCTCTTTTGTATCTACCTTAGTAAGCTTACAAATTCCCTCCCTGCTCTCACTGGATGCTTCCTGGTGACCTAGACTTCAGTACCCCACTTTGACAGGTTAAACCTGCTAGATTACAAAGAAAAGGTCTGCGTGCTATGTTAAGAAGGCTGGGTTCTGGAACTCAAAGAACTACATTTGGTTATACAATGACTTACAGCAAAGTCACAGCCAGTGCTTTTCTTGATGTCATCCACAGACAATCCTTCCCAGATTTCAATCAGGGTCAGTCCCTTTTTCTTGTCCACATCAAACACTGCCTGTCAGGATCAAATAAAGTAGGAATCATGTTTTAATATTAGGTCAGATGTTGAGGAAATTTCTATTAACATAATGAAAAAGGTATCAGCCTTCTAACTTACAACTGTCCAGCAAATATCAGCACATCATTCATTAGCACTTGAAAGAATATTAAAAAAAGAAAAAATATATATTTATTTTGGGAAAAATCTGTAATGTGTTTTATTTTGGATGAATTAAAGTCCTACCTCAGACAAACTAAGAAGGACTGAGGAGTACAAGATACTTATACATTTACTTGGCCACTTCTATTGGGTGGGTCTGCTTTTTGGGAGGTGCTGTTTGGGGGTGAGGCAGGCAGGGATAGCATTTATTTACTTTGGTGTGTAGGTCAGTGAGGAAGTAGAAAATGCTTATTAATTGAACCCTCCTCTAGTGATGACTGTAACAGTCTGTTTTGTACAATATGATTATTTGGGGAGTTCAGGATTGACAGTAAAACAGAGGGTTTTTCTTCTCTTTTTAACATAATACCTGGGATGAAGTGGTGAAGCTTGAATGAGCGAGTGAAAGCTGCTCCTTTCGATGCTTTCTATAGCACTATAACTAATGCTTTACACTTCCAAAGCTTGCGACACATTGGATACAAAATTCTGTAAAATGGTGTTGACTTTAATGGGATCCTGCCAGACAAGTTATTCTGGTCACATGCCAGTTGCCAGGGCAATGTGTAAGGTCTAGACATTTTCCTAAAGAAAGTTGGTTGAAAAAGTCAGATGAAGGTTTACTTGGAATAGAAGTGAATTCTCAAGTTCCTCTTATGACTGAAAACTCACACTGAAGGCTCAGTTGATCTCTGCAGAGATTTGGATCTACCAAGACCCTGCATCCCTATGTCTCAAGACAGAAACTGTGGATAATAAACACCTAGTTTGGGATGTTTACTTGGAAATCATTAAACATTACAATTCAATTCAAGAGATGCTCCATTATATCCTTTAGTGTAATTTCTCTGAGAAACAGATGATAGATGCACAAAAATGGAGGATTGGACAACTCTTGCTCCTTTTATACACTCCTCTGAGTTGCTTACATAAGAATTGCCATTTACTGGGTCAGACCACAGGTCCATCTTGCCATGTGTCACAAGATGGCAGAGAGTGGATGCTGAAAGGAAAAGTAAACTGGGTATGACCAGGAGGGTTTTCCACCCATCCCCTCTCACTTGCACCTCCAGCATTTAAGGTCTAGGAAGTTCTGATTCAGAGGCTCTACCCCTAACTCCCATGCTCAATAGCTACTGATGCCCCTTTTCTCCACAAATTTGTCCAATCCCTTTTTGAATCTGGCTAAACTGTCGGCTTCTGCAGCATCTGGTGGCAACAGATTCTGTGCTTTAATTAAACACTGTATGAAAAATAACTTCCTTTTGTTAAACTTACTACCTACTCATTTCATTTTGTGATCCCTAGTTCTTGTATTGTGACAGAGTAAATAATAAATCTCCGTTTACTTTCTTTTCACCATTTTGCATTTTGTAAACCCTTATCATGTCTCCCGTGAAGTAACTCTTTTCTAAAATGAACTGGCCTAGCCTATTTAGTCTCTCTGCTTATTGACACCCTCAAAAAACTCTAGTAGGTTGGTGAGGCACAACTTCCCTTTGACAAAGCCTTGTTGATTCCTCCCCAGCAAGTTATATCCATTCATATGCTGAATAATTCTTTTTCTTTATTATTGTTTCTACCAGTGTTCCAGGAATAGAAGTCAGACCCACCAGCTTGTAGTTCCCTGCATCCCCGCTAGAGCCTTCTTTTAAATATGGGAGGCACAATGGCAATCCTCCAGTCCTTTTGGTACAAGGTTGTTTTTAGTGATAGGTTGCATACTATAGTTAGGAGTTCAGCAATTTCCAATTTGAGCTCCTTCAGGACCCTAGATTGAATGCCATCAGTCCCGGTGAGTTGCTACTGTTTAAATTTATCAATTTCTTCTACAACCTCATCTACTGAAGCCTCAATTTGAGTCAGGTCCACTGACTTTTCCTTAGAAAGGAATGGATCTGGTGATGAAAGTTCCCTAACATCACACATTGAAGACAGATTCAAAGAATGCATTTAGTTTCTCAGCAATGGCCCTGTCATCCTTTAGCACCCTTTTATACACTGATCATCCAAAGGCCGATTGACTTCCTGGCAGGTCTTTGGCTTCTAATGTACTTAAAGAAATTGTTATTGTTACCCTTTGTCTCTCTAGCAAGTTCCTCTTCAAATTCTCTCTTACCTTGTCTTATTACAGTTATACATTTGATTTTTCCAGTGTTATGCTTATTTTATGTCAATCCTCGTTCAGTGTTACTTCGCTCTAAATCCCCCCAATTAGCATGTGCGGATTAAGTGAGGAAGTTGATTTTTTGCCTGGGATTGGAAGCGCTGTGGTTTAATTCCTGATCCACAGTACCTCAACTGTGGTATTGCTGTTCAAATAGCTGAGGGGGTCAATTGACCTAATGGCTGATTGTTTTTCATTCAAGAGGTGTTAACAATCGACTCTCCTTTTAATGGTCTTGCTCTTCCACCAATCAAGCTAACCCTTAGTAGGCTATAAACAGACCTTGCCAAATGAAGCTGATCTGCCTTGTCAGGATGTCTCTTGGCAAAGCAAATAGACTTCACTCTGTGAAGCAGACACCACTCACTGCCTCACAGTGTTGGGCCCCTGTCACTGACAGAAGCAACCAGGCCCCAGTCCTGATGGGCAACACGTAAGCCACACCTCTGTAAGTTGGGAAACCTAGGCTCAAAATCGTTAGGAGTACCTGCTTGGGCAGGCTGGAGAGGGCAGACAGCTCCAGGCTGTCCACACTTTCCCAATTTAAGCAAACAAATGTCTACCACAAAATAACATTATCACTACCCTTTGTAGCAGCCACAGATTTGGGCATTTGTGGCTCAACAAAGGGCACAGACATCTTCTTTCACTTTGCACCACCATAACAAGTTTTATGGCAGCACAAAGGCAACATCTGTTCATGGCCTTAGGGCAAATTTTACTGTCTTCTGCACAGGCTCCTTAGCTCTGTCAACATCATAGATCCACCCATGGAAACCAGTCTTCAGGAACAGCTGGGGATTCAGCTTTAGTTATGCAGGAAAAGGACGGTGACTCCCTGTCCCTGCTCCATGCAGCCATAATGTTAAAAAAATATTTTTTTCTTCATTCTGCCTTTCAAAAACAAAGTGAGAATTATATCTGGGGGCATGTTGTAGTAAAAAAAAAATAAGATAAGATTCACCTTTTCATTTGTTTTCCTCTTTCTTGTGGAGAAAGATTCATTTAATATAACAATAGCAATATAATTCAGGGGAAAACAGTATTCAACAGGAATGTCATTTAAGTGCATTACTTAGTATAATAAAAGGCATTCCAGAGTGACTTAGCCCTTAAAAATGTAAATAACTACAGCAATAGAAATATGGCTATAGCATGAGACTAACTCTGTTGAAAAGGTCAACTGATTATCCAAGCTGATTATTTTCGACTCAAATCTAATACCCTTACTCACACTAAGTATAAATTTACTTCACAAATAATGCTATGCGACGTATGTAGAATTAGAGCCCTTTGTGACTGCGAGTCAGAATAAATAGTGTATGATTTCAAAAACAGAGTATATGGTATACTGGGCAGAGATGCCTAATGTTCTACTCCTATGCACTGGGGACCTGGAATATTTAAACTGTTAATTTTAATGCATTGAGAAAGCAAACTGTGATTTTTAGCTCTATCCTGAGACTTTGCATGCAGCAAGCCAGGTTTTCAGTTTTAACTGTGGTGCAAAGTATGTAGGATAAATTGATACTTAATTTACATGATCAGTAATTAAACATGGGTGTATATTTGATGCAGGCATCTGCACTCAGAACATGTTTGAAAATACAGTCTAGTATCTTGGGTGCTAAAGGATAACATTCTTAACAGGAAAAGAGATCCAAACCCTGGAATCCTCTTCCACAGGATACGTATTCTTTATAGTCAAACAATCCTGTACACAATGCATGTTTTCACTAGATGAGATATAAATATGACTGGTGACACTTTTTAAGGGAATGATATAATTGAAAAGCACTGCATTTTACCTTCTCTGTAATTATACGGTCTACACATTGTTTCCCAGTAAGTGGCAAATTGCATTTTTCCAAAATCTTGTGGGTGTTGCCCTGTATTTAACAAGATAAAGGCAAGTGTTAATGTTTACGAAACAGAATTCAGAAAAGAACAAAAAATAAGGTACCCAAAACATCACAAAAAGAGGCACCCAGAATCCTTGAAGCACATACTATTGCCCTACACTGGAGATCCTACATAATGTCAAACATTTTGGGCTAGACTGAGGCTTGGATTACACATCTATACAGAATTAACCATAAAATCTTATTTACAGATACCCACCCTATGTCCTGCCTATTTCTGCGTCCTACCTTGTCCTTCAACGCCTCCTGGCTGCCCGGCCCCTACAAGCACAGGCACCAGCCCTGCTGCCACTGGCCAGGCCGCAGAGTTCCCTGCTGCCCCCAAAGGGCCCTCCCACTCCCTTCCCCCACTGGAGGGCAGGTGCCTCCACCAGCTCCCCCACCCCGTTGAAGCCCCAACATCCAGACACCTTCCTCCACCCCCTTAACATACCCATCCCCTCTACAGACACACACACACGCACCCCACCCAGACAGTCCCCAAGCCCTGGCCCTCCAAACCCCATCCCCATCAACTTACTGACATCCTGCTACCAGGGCTGCTCCCACCACCCTGCCTGGCTATATGCCAGCCATGGGCATGTGCACACAGATGCACATGATGACGCCTGCCTCCAGTCACCCTCCCCCTGCTCTCCCCAATCCCAAGTAGCTCCTTGCTATGGAAAACCAGGAAGTGCTAGGAAAAAATTTGATGCTGAGCACAAAAAAAATCCCAGACATTTGTTGATATTTTAAAAAACCACCTGGATGGACATGCAAGGACCCCTTCAACAGGTTGTGTCTGGGAAAACCCAGACATATGGTAACCCTACTTCTCCTGGCACATGGAGATAGGGAATAGGTGAAGCTTTAAGTAACCTGTGCTGTTGAGCTTGTGTAAGGCAGTTGCAGCCAGGCAAAAGGAGGCAAGCAACTGTGCTTCAAAGGGTGTGGACACCGAACACTTGGGACACCTATACATGTGCAGCAAGGCTGCTCCAACTTGCTGTAATTACAGCGCATCAGAACAGAATCGATTAATCGAGTCTGCCAGAGCTTAGTAATTACCGCACTCCAGCAGACTCCAGCATCTCATGCATTAGCGTCCCCACACTGAAAAATGGTGATGGGGGCCCTTTAACTAAAGCTCGTTCGACAGGGAAAAAGGTGAACTGCTTCAACAAGGGAGCAACTGATACATTCTAATTGTTATGTGTGAACAAGCTAAGAACAATTAGATTTGAACACTCCTACATCCAGGGTTAAAGTTGGAGCAGGTTTGCTTCTGGTTCACTTGTAACAATTAGAACATACCAGCTGCTGCCTTTTTTAAATGCTGCCCTTTCAAAAGGTCTCAAAGTGTTTGTGTGTCTACACCCAAAGAGAAATCTCTGAACAATCATGCCTCCAGGAGTGGTACGGTTATACTCCTACTCTGGGCTGTACCTACAGACACAATTTAGCTTTCTAGTGTTATGTTAAAAGCCAAATAATGGCTATGCACATGGGAGTTCAGTGAAACTGCAAGGAAGCTTTCATCCCCATTCAGTCTATACACTCTACAGAAACACATGTACTATATTTTTTGCTTTGTGAGGTGCATTGCTCATTTCTGGGAGTTTGAAACTTTATTATTACTATCATTATTGTTTCTGTTGTTGTTATTGATAATAATGATGATGATACTAACAATAACAGCATGAGCAGATCCAGGATTTCATAAAGGGGAGTGTGGGAGAAGTAACCTATGCTGTAGGGGTGGCTGCACCCCCATTCCCACACTCCACACACACCAGGGGGACAGACTGTACTACAGAAATAGCAGCAGAGCAGTAAGTCCTTCAAGCAGGTAAAAATCTTCCCTCCCCCCCTCCCTTCCATTCCATACTCAACAGCATGTTACCTCCCATCCCAAAACCTGCCTGCCACTGCTACTGCCACTGTCCCTAGCTGATCTGGGGGGCAGGGTTTGTGGGGTGGGTTCCAGACCTGCCCCTCCCTCTCTCTAGCCAAGCCTGGCAGCAGCCAGGGAATTTCTTTCCCCTGCGCCTGCTCTAGGCTTGCTGCTGCCACTGTCAGCTGAGTCCAGCTTTGCATGGAGCCCAGCTGGAGAAGGTAGGAGTGGCTCTAAAGCTCCCCCCATCAGGACAGCCAGAGACAGCAGCAGCAGCAGCGGGCAAGAGTCAGAAGGGGGAAGAGAAGGGGACGCACAGCTGAGTATGGAGGGGAAGGCAGGGATTCTTACTTGCTTCAGGGACTACTGTTTGTCTGTTGGATCCATTTTGGAATAAGAACAATGATAACAACAACCGTAGCTCAGCTAGTTTCTCCTCTTCCACAAACTCATCCATCTGTCTGCCCCTACCTGGCTTCCTGTTGGCACCGCACAGTCCTAGTACCATGGCCACCAGCCAGGACCTGCATGGGATAGGGTGCAAAGCAGTGCGTCAAGTAGCCATTCCGCCCACCACGATGAGCCGTTGCCGCTGCCGTGCCAGACCAGGAAAGTCGGAGAGCGGCTGCCTTGAGGCCGAGCCCCACCACTGTCCCCTCCCCCTTCCCCTTTTTCTCCTCCCCACAGTTGGCATGGACTACTGGTGCAACGGGGGGGCAGGCAGGACAGCTGCTTGGCGCATTGCATTCCCTGTCACATGCAGGCCCAGCTGCCAGGACTGCACGGCTGCAGCGCCAGTAGGGAGCTGGGCAGAGAAGAGGCATGGCGGATGCAGGGAGCTGGAGGAGTCTGTGTTCTGCACGGCCCTAGCTGTGGTAGACTGCAGCAGCACAGGGCCCGCCCTCCCTCCTCAGGTTCCCAGTGCCAGATAGGATCAATTGACTAGCCAGATATGCCCCGCAGGCCATATTTTGCTCACCCCTGTCCTACTCCCGTCTTATTCCAGAATCAGCCATATCACAGAAGGTCACTGCAGGCTCTGACATGCTTATTTATGCACAGGATTTACAGAGAGTCTGCTCCACAAATACTCAGTTCTAGCCACTTTGGGGGCACAGAACCCAGAGCAATTTTTCATGTAATCGAGTCACCCAATAGAGATTTCACACAAATCCAGCTCCCTCCCTTTCCCCAGACTTTATGTCAGCATAATCCAGACCAAGATTTTGGATTAGATGGAATTTTACTATCCCAAAGTGTTTTATACAAACCATAAATCAGCCTGCAAACATAATGAACAGGAAGCTTCCTTCTGCGATACCATTCATTGGCAAAGCTAGGAGACCCGGGATGGGGGCATTGTATATAATATTTAGAATCGATTTTGATGCAAAGCTTCCTCTCTGAGGAGACACTTATGTAGGAGCACACATGTTTAAAAAACCTAGTAGAGGGACATGGGCGGAAAAAGCTCTAAAAATGTAGAAATGGACAGGTCACTGCACCTTTAATTACTTGTAGGCAACTAACAGCTGCAGCAGTAAATGAACATCCTTACTATTACTTCATTCTTTTCATTTTACCTCTAATTTTCCTTTCAAAGAAGGTCTGGGAGTGTTGCAAGCCTAAATTAATCATCTGACCACACATGATTTTTTTTGTCAGGTCTCCTTAACATAGCTTGGGCAGCCAGACCTCAGCAGATTCTGTTCCTATTTCTGAAAAACTGAATAATCCATGTGGTTCTCCAGGATTTCTTTTTTCCTATGGGGAACCACTGTTTCTTTCTAATTTTGCCAGCAAGATCTACATCTGGCATCAAGGCAACTACTCAGATGAAAATGACTCCATCTTAATGAAAGTAATGACTTGAGACAGAGATTGACTTAAATTGTTCCCATCTCAAGGACCTTCCTGCATTCTGCTCTCATAACAGAACCAAGATTGATTTGTGCTATTTTTAAAATTTTCAGCAACACATCACAGAACACCTTTAAGGTCACGTAATATCTCCTTGGGGTGTTCTGCCAAGATTGAACTGTACAGTCCTGTAGAGGTGACGACATGAAGACAGCTCTGTGACCCTGATTGCTGATGAATTTCAGTTTCTTGAATGGAAGAGCCAAAGATTATCTTACTGCCACTTATCATAAGAAGAGGCTTTTAGAAACCACTCAGCCTACAGAGCAGCATCAGCATGAGAACCCAAACAGAACTGCAGGATCTGTTGCTGTCTGAGTCTAAGCTGGTTTGTTTGGATTAAAGAAGACTGGGCAGAGCCTCCCTAACCAAGCCTGTATTAAAAAAGCTTCTCTTATGCAAAAATGTATTTAATATTTCATGGCATCAAAACTGTTTATAACAGAGAAATGGAATGTGAGCTCCTCAGCTAGAGGTCACCTGTCCAACCCAAAGTAATGGTTTTGGAGAAAGTTAAGAGGTAGATCTGAGCTCCCAGGGTAATCTCTGCTAATAAATATCTGCCACTTCTTCCTTAAAATAACAGAAGTATAAAACACAGGTCATATAGGTTAGATTAATGTAATAAATAACTAGATCATCCTGACCTATTCCAAAATAAAAGAGTGCTGGTTTCCCAAATCTCCAGAATAAGCAGAGAGTTAAGCCCATCTGACAATCTTCCTGTAGAACTTAAACTTGCTTTATCACATAGAGGCAAACAGCATAGAAACTGTGGTAGAAAACTAATCTGCTGCTAATGTAGTCTGACAATACCCAAATTCAATATTCCTCTGTCCCTTGTGAAGTATGCTTGACAATTTCTGACTCTGCAGTAACCTTGGCTGGTATCCATTTCCTTTATCCACTAGGTTTTTCCATGCTTTTTACTTCATCTATTCCCCTACTCCCTTACTCAACCAGTAACCACAGGCATCTCTGAAACCTTGACAGATCTCGTATCACTTATTCTCTTCTTACTGCTGTAAGAATTTATTTCCCTCCCTCTCTTCTGTTGCCTTTCAGTCTATCTCAATACTTCACACCTTGGCTTGTTGTGTTAATCCATCACTGGATATTAAAGCCATCTTTAAATTATCTATTTATTTACAAATCAACAAGGCAAACATGG